CAGCAGCGGCGGGACGCGCTCCGGAGGGCTCGTTTCCCTCGGGGTAAGGGCTGGTACGGGGGCCCGGCCCTTCCCCTTCACCCACAGCCACCCACGTCCCTTTTTCCCACCCTTTGTGATGGTTTTGGCGGGTTTTCTTTTCCCTCCCTCGATTTTTTTTTTTGGCAGGGCCGGACTGGCCGACCCACCCCCTTCCGAGCCCCGGTTCCCAGTGCGCTGCCCCACGCCCCCACAGAGGGTAGCGTTTACCCTCCCACACGCACCCAGGGCACGGCCCACGAGCTTCAGGCAGCGTCAAGGTTCGCTCTGGAAAAAGGGCACAAAACCCCTTAAAACTAAACAGAGCTGAGGCTTTTATTAGAAAAGGAGATTGTTCTGTTTCAGTCCTTCGGGAATGCAGCTTTATGCAAGCGTAATTCTGAGCCTTGGAGGAGTCCTTCAAAGCCTGGTGCCAGGCCGGTGCGGGGAGGCTTCAGCAGGCGGGGATAGGGAGACTGTCCGGGTTAACTCAGGGAGTCCTGGTTTGCCGTCCCGAGGTAATCCCGAATGCTTCTGGCAAGAGACTCACGGTGTGGGAACACGGCCTGCTGCAGGCACGAAACCAGGTACAAAGGGATGGGCCTGAAAGAGAAAAGAGAGTTGCAGCAGCAAGGACTTCTGCATTCTCTTGGCTTGGTCCGATAGGGAATGCTGCTCCCTGTCTCCAAGCCTCTGCCCTCCCATGTGGCTCCGTGGGAGGTCTTTTGTGCCCCGGGACAGTCCCTGCAGAGCCACAGCCCATCGGTCATGGGGGGAAGCTTCTCAGACACTTCTGAGCGGCGGGCGCCGGCTAGCAGGAGCTGAGCTGAACTGTCGGCACAGCTTGTAACATGGGCTGCACTGCTGGAGCTCTCTCGTGTGGCCAGCCGAGATCCCACCCGTCCCTCTGCACACCTTCCCTGCTCTTCCTGCTCCCCATCCTCCCCGGGGGGGCTCTGGGAGAACTTCTGCCAGTGAGCAGCCGCCTCCTGCTTTCGGTTCAGTTTCCACAAGGCCTGCACCAGGTAGGAGGAAACAGCTGGATCACCTGCAAGACATGAAGGGGGAGTCAGCCTTTCGCAGGGGAGGAGCAGGTCCCCAGCGCTGCTGTGGGTCGCAGGGTGCTGCAAAAGAAGGGTAGAAGCCAGATGAGGGACATGAGCAAGAGGAGAGGTGGTGTAACGGGGAGGAGACTGTGGGGCTGTGTCACAGGCTGTAATTAACCCTGGGGCTGGCAGCCAAGGCAGATAGCATCAGCTTCTGTCTGGACACAAGCTGGGGTTTTCCTTGCAGGTAGGTCTGCACCCCCAAAGGGAGGGAGCCTGGATCAGGACTGGGACCAGCAGGTTTGGCAGATCCTGGTGAAACTCACGCCCTTGCAGCGTGCCAGCATGGCTGGAGCACTGAACAGGGGAGGTCACCCCTGGGAGGAGCCCTACACATGCCTCAGCTGTGCTCGGGACACATATGGCTCCTCGCCCGACTCCCCTCTCCCCTGACAGGCCTCTGGACTGGCAGGCACGGACAGGCCGCTTCTGAGGATGAAGCAAGACTCCAGCTCCTCTGTTCTGAGAAAGCAGACCCTGTCTGGGAGAAAGCTGGCTGTACCAGGCTGGGGTTTGGGCAGGGAGAAGAGATTTCCAAACTGTCTCAGGGCACAGGTTGTGGGCAGGGTTCCGATACACTCCTCTGACAATAGTTTATACTCCTCTGACAATAGTTTTGCTCTGTTTCTCCAGGGCAGCGAGCTGACCAGGCCCCAGAGAAGCATCTCAAGCAACATTGCTAGTAGCCCTACCAGAGTCCTTGACACCCAACTAAGCGCAGTCTAAAGCATAAGACCTTTCTGCTGAGGACAGCAAGGCAGCCCAGGACAAATTTGCAGAAACCTACTCTGTTCTTCACCAAAATGAGCCTCTTACCTGGTGAGATCTGAAAACCATGCTGGAAATCCAACAAGGCTTCCTTGTGCCTCCCCAGCTCCAGAAACTGTGTACCTCGTCCGATGAGAGCGAGCAATCTGATCTTCTGGAGCACTTCCACTTCTGGCAGGAGATTCTCTGGTATAGAAAGACACAGGCACCTGGAGACAGCATCCTCCAGACCCTCCCTCCCTTCTCCCAGACGGCTGAGCCAGGTCAGCAGGCAGCTAACAAGCAGCTCCTGTACTGACCGCTGCCAAGCACACAGACCCTGACCCAGCTAGGCCCTGCACAGGTCCCAGCAGTGCGGCATCCCACCTCTTGGTTCAACGCTAGACCCGCAAAGCTGGACTCGTAAGAGATCGCTGAGGCACCTGTGAGTGGGAGGACAGAGGAGCTTTGGTACCATTCCCGGGCTGGGAATCCAGCTGCAAGTTGCCAGGCCAGCCCCTGTGCCACGCTGCACCCTGTTGTGGCCCTCGCTGGCCACTGCTGCTTGCCGGGGAGGCCCCTTCCCCCAGCGAGGCTGCCTCACCTGCTGAATTGCGTTATGGCCTCCTTGCTTGTGCCCAGCTTGGCCCACGCCCAGCCCTGGTGCAGGTATCCAGCTGCTCTCCAGGCAAGGCAGCACAGACTCTCCTTCTTCTGGGACAGCCCTGCCCCTGGCGATGGGCACTGCGGCTGCTCCACCTCTCCTCTGCTCGTGACAGCCGTGGGATCAGGTCAGTTGTCCGGCTGATGACCTCCTCACACATGGTTATGGCATCCTGGTGCCTCCCAGCCTGCTCCAAGGCGGACGCTGCTTCTAGGAACACCTCGGGGATCCTGGGCAGAGCTGAGCTACCATCTAGGGGCACCTGGGGAGGAACAGCGATGGCAGCGCTCAGACGCAGAACTGCGGAGTGCCTGGCCAAGCAGAACGACCCCGTGCTTACGGGGAATCTGGAGCTGCCGCCCAGCAAAGCTCTGACCCACTCCCACAGACACTGGAGCCTGTTGGAGGAGGCAGAAGCTGTGAAGCACTAACAGCTCAGCAGACTCAAGGTGGCAAATGCCCACCTCTTGAAGTGAAGGACATCCAAAACCAGGCCAACAGCTGCTCCCTACTGAAGAAACAGCTTCCCCTTCCCTAATAGCAGCAGCAAGTGGTTTCTGATGTGAATCCGAAGGCAGACAGGCCACAGGTCAGAGGTGCCAGCCCCCACCTCGTTCAAACTAGACACTGAAACCTGGAGTCTAGGGGTGACACCTGGGCCTGGGCCTTGGGATGGGGATCCAAACCTCATCTACCAAGTCACCAATGGAGCTCTTCACCAGGACACCCACCTGCTGCTGCAGCCCCTCCTGAAGCAGAGTCAGAAAATCCAGGTAATGTTCCACTGCATCAGCCACCCTGCAACAGGGACGGGACATGTGGGAGGAGCAGAGGGACCCCAAGAAGTGCCAGCAGCCAGATGGAACCTGGATGGCCAGCCTACAGTCTGTCCTTGCACCACACTCGCTCTGGTTGTGATACCCAGGTCGTGAGCAGACCTACAACAGCAGTACTGAAGTGGACAATTTCCAGGAGTGCAGAGAAAACCACAGAGACCAAATAAGCAGCATGTTTCAAGCAGACCAGCAGTGCTGTTACCTCCCATTCTGGAGACACCGCCGTGCCAGCAGGTACTTCACTTCAGAGGGGTGGCGATGGCGAAGGAGAGAAGCTAGTGTTGGCGTGCGGACAAGAAGCTCTGCTCGGATTAGGAAATATGGACTAGAGGAAGCAGCTGTTGGAGTGGTTTTTTCCAGGGCCTGTGAAACAGGAACAGAAAATATGGTCAACACAATGCTGGTGAAGTCCCAAGCAACTGCAACCACTTGACACTTCTGGCATCTGGAGACGGGTCCAGGCGAGCAGAAGCGCTGCACTTCATAAGGACGGCTACACTGTTCTTACTCACTGCAGCACAGCCAGTTCCAGGAAGAGCAGCCAGGATCACACAGGGACAGGCAGACTTCTGATCTGCACACGGCATCAGGAGATTTGCAAGATCACACACATCACCTCGGGTTTTCAGTTCAAGGTGCTCTGAGCTGCCTAGAACACCATCTCCCATTGCAGCCACAGTCCTAGTTATACCAGATCTGGGGCCATTCATAATGAGAGCCCCTCTCCACAGCTGCATTTGTGTCTTGCAGGTTTCAAACAGCTGAGGAGCTAACTCGGTGTCTGCTCCTGTGACCTGCTCCTCCCAGACAGACCGAGGTTGGTACGGCTAACGCACACCTCCTCGCAGCCACAATCTGCCTTTTAAAGGCCTCTCTACTGTTAGATACTTTATTAAGAGACTGATGCTTTCTGCCATGAGAGTATAACTTTTCCCAAGACACCAAAAACATGAACTGGGACCCAAAGCTCTTGCCACATCCAACCGCTAGGTGCTGAGCAGGAATTTCAGATCTCACTGGGCTCTTTCCTGCCTGCTGCTGAAGGCAGCACCGTGCCTGGATGGCTGTAGTCTACTTTGGGGACCCCTCCAGGGTCAAACAGCGGCCCCCCCGAGAAGGCAGGAGCCTGCTTGAATCTCTGTGCAGGCTCTGCTGGGCAAAAATCAACCCAGAACTACAGGAAGCAGACAAACCTTGTAGAGCAGAGCCAGGGCCTGCAGCTCCACGTCGGTCTGCCCCAGCTCGTGGTACACTGCTGCCGCATGGAACAGGGCAGGGAGGCACTGGAAGTCTACCTGGAGGGCCCATTTCAGGTGTTGAAGTGCTGTCTGAGGCTTGCCCTAGTTAGATGGGAAGAGGTGCATGTTGCAAGGACATCTTGCTGACATCTTTACTGTTCGGTGGGATCCAGGCCCCTGCTTTGCTTCCCCAGCAATCCCCACTAAGCAAGGGCAGCACCTTAGCCAAAGGCAGACCTCCCCAGGCTGATTTTTGAGCTTCTTTCTCTCTCTGCAGCAGCCCTTTGTGCTCAGCCAAAATCCCTGCCTGGATTTTGCAGCCGCCCAAGGAGGCTGGGGCTGCAAGAGCAACTTCTGCTCAAGACCCCACCTTCCTGCAGTAGCCTAGGACCACACAGAGGCAGCACAGACATCAGCCCGAGCCTCCCCACCCTGCTCTAGGCTGCATTTCCCCCCTCCCCGCTGGCAGCGGAGAGGCCCAGCCATTACCATTTGCTGAGCGCAGCAGCCGAGGCAGGTGTAGATCTGGGCCAGGACCCTCTTGGAGCAGAATCCTCTGGCAGCCTCCTGAAGGAGGGAGAGGGTGGTGGGGAAGTTCCCAGCCTCCAGCTCCTGCAGCCCTAGGACAGACCCAACATCTCAGCTCTGTGGCTCCTCTTCCCGCCCTGCCTGGTCCCCAAACAAACGTATGTGCCCTTTTCTTCCCAGTGCCATCAGACCTGCCTGATCCCCTCCACATCCAGCAATGCACAGCGAGATGGTGCCAAGCTCCCATCTTTGGTTTGATGGTGTTGCAAGAGAACAAGCCCCTCCATGGAAACATCTAGCAAAAGTAATAGCAGCTTCCAAGCGCAGGTAGCAAGACGCTTGCCTTCGCCCAGAACAAGGGCAAGGGTCGGTGCTGGGCAGGTCCACCTGCACATTCACCCACAGCGACGGTGGTGTGGATGGGGAGCACACACAGGCTCAGAAAGACTTCTTCCTGCACATCTGGGCCATTTCCTACCAAGATGCTTTGGGATAGTAATTCATCACAAATGGTATTTGCTTTTCTTTCAGTCCTCATCCCAAGCTTCCCTCTGAGGCTGCTCTCACATGACTACATCACATTCACATCTCCCACCTCCCCACTGGAAGTGCTATGGCCACCCTAGGGGCTTTTGAGAGGTGTGTGGGCAGGAGCTCCTGCCCCCCCTCCTCACAGGAAGGCCTCGCGTCAGGCTGAGCGTGGTGAGGCAGGGCTGGTTGCCCCCAGAGCAGCTGGGCTTGTCAAGACAGCGAGAGAGGGAAAACCCCGAGCGGGACAGAGCGCAGCAGCCAGGTGAGCTCAGTCACCTGCTGTGACGCCAGGCTACAGAGCGGCACAACGGGAACAATGTGCTTGCAACAAGGCAGGTGACAGAAGAAAGGAAAATCCTAAGTCCCCTGCCAGCCTTCAGCTTTATACCAGACCACTGCAGCGCCCAGACATCTACCTAAAGCCACAGACAGGCAGAGGAACACTGTGGCAGTGCAGAGAATGGCTTAGCTTAAGAAAAAAGCAGAGATGCTCTTTGAATAGCAAACAGCAACGTTGAGACCCAGAGGCTCAGCCCAGGGCCTCTTCCAAAGGAACAGCCCAGAAAACCCCAAGGGCTGGTTTGCTTGAGAAACCAGGACAAGGGCAGGGAGGGGGAGTCCTGGGACAGGAGAGCAGTGGGAGGCTGTGCTGGCATGAGGATTTCCACACAAACCTTGCAGGAAGGCTGCTGCGGTGAAGAGGATTTCTTTCAAGTCCTCAGTGCTCTGTACAAGGGGCAGGGAAGCCTCCTCAGCAGGTACTTGCCATGCCTTGAGCAGGGAGAGGAGTTCGTTCTCCCCCTCGCTGTGGTGAGCCTTTCCCCGGTCCTGTGAATACACAGAGGAGAGAGAGCAGGGAATGCTGAAGGGAAGCAGGAAACACTGATCCCAGGTCATGGGGAAAGAGAGGTCCCACCAAACCCTTTGACAGCGGTCTCTGTGCTGGGGAGCAATGTTCTACCACCCCCTCACTTCAGCCACAACTCCCTTGCTGCAGTGATTCTTGCCTGGCTTGGGGCAGCACCTCCCCACCTCAGAGCGAGCTGCACCTCGAAGAGCTCCTGGCAAGGCAGGTCCAAGTGCTCTTGGAGGGCATTCAAAAAGGTGGGACCCCTCAGCAGCCCCACAATCGGCAGGGAAGGTTCCTCTGCTCACAGCTTGCTCCCTGCAGAAGCTGGAAGTCCACCTGCAGCCCCCTTCCAGCCTGCCCAAGTCTCCTGTCTCGTGCTTTGTGGTCCAGGGCCCTGACAGGCAGGAGATATTCTGGGACTCGTTAATGCACTCAGTGTCATTAGGCTACACCAGGACACCAGGGAGAGGATTGCTCATGCTGACTGGGCAGCGCTGCTGGGTTCAGGTCTTCAAATGCCACAGCAACGTTTTGCAGAGTGGGGTTTATGCCAAACACAGTGTTTATGCCAGCTCTGCCTCCTGTATCAAACTCGCAGGTATCCGTACCTGCGCAGATACTCTGGCGGGAGCTGTGCAGCATCGGCCCATGCCCAGTTACCTCAGTGCGGCTGAGGAGACGGAGGAGGCCAGCCGTGCTTCCCAGGCGGCAGAATGCCAGCCACCACGCTGCTTGCAGGGCGCCCAGACGGTGCAAAGGTGCCTGCAGCTTCTCCGCAGTTACCTCCCACAGCACCTTCTGCCACAGCTCCTCGGTGCTAAGGTCCTGCCCGCAGGCCCCACAAGCCTCCAGAACTGAAAAAAACAAACAAAACAACCCCAGCCATGAGGCGACAGGTTGGTGCCCTTGTGACAGACACCCTCCAAAGAGGGAAAGAAAGCCTCAAGCAAGCAGGGGCTCCTCATAGCACGGAAACCAAGCTCTCAAACAGTGATGTGACCAGCAGCATGCTCAGGAGACAACACACAGTTCAGAGCTATGACTCCAGCTCTGCCCAGTCCTGCTGAGGTCACTTGCCCCTGAGCAAGCATGTGCCAACAATTCAGATCCCCCTCCGCCCTGCAACCTATTTCAATGAATTTTCTTTGAAGTCAGCATACTGTAATTAAACACTCATTTTCTACTAAGTCACTAAAGTCACTAAAACTTTGCTAGAGACTTGGCACCTTACACCTTGACAACTCTCGTTTCCCTTAAAACCTCTGGCTCATCCCTGCAGGCAGCAGCAGACAGGCAGGCAGGCAGCTGCACATCAGCCCTGGCTGGAAGCTGCCCCACCTCCTGCCCTTCCCGGCAGAGACAGGCTTCCCTGCTCCCACCTCCGGCCAGTCACCGCACATCTCCAAAGCACAGAGAACGCTCACCTCGCCCCAAGGACCCCCTGTACAGAGAATGATCTCCTTACCCCTGAGGAGGCCCTGGCGTATTTCTTCCGCTTCTCCTTCTGTGGCAGCATTACTTGCTACCATAGTAAAAAGCAGGGAGTTGTAGAGGACGGTAAGCTCCAGAGGCAGGGCAGGGAGGGCAGCCGGCAGCCCTGTGATCACAGCCAACCGAACAAGAAATTGAGCCGGCTAGGAAAAACCCAACAACCACCCATGCTAAGGTGTCATTCCCTGGCTTTGTGAGAACAGAAGTGTCCTGGCAAGTATTTGTTTGTTGTGGTTGTGGCAAGACTTAGAAGGTTGGGAACTGCAGTACACAGAGAGAGAGCAGGTGTCACCTCTGCAGGTGCCACCTCTGCAGGTGCTGACACTGCTTTACACGTCCATTCCCCAGCTATCCAGGTGCTGCAGTGCTCCAGGACTAGGACATTTCAGCCCTCCCAAAAGAGCGCTAATAGCCTACTCTCTTCCAATACATATCCACCCTTTTGCACAGGTTTCCCACACTGTGTCTGTCTCCTCCCCATCAGGCTCTCTCGATACCACAGCTGTGGCAGGGAGGCCCTTCCTCAGCTTCCCAGGACAAAGGTGGCCTCACTTTTTCCAGAAACCCCAAAGCTCTGCCCACACCCCCCAGCAAGATTGGGTAGAGGCTGGGGCTGAGCCTTAACCCCTTTGCAGTCCCAGTTCAGCTTAGGCCAGCGGGGAACATTTCACCCCCGCTCCCTTCATAAGTTTGTCTGGAAACAAACCGGAATACCGAAGCTGCAGCCCGGTAAACACCAGCGCCCG